TTTTTTGGTTGCTTATGGATTGAAATAAAGTGATTAAAGAAGGAAAGGAAATGGGAACTGGAAACTTCAGTTTGGTGCCGTAGTTGAGGGGTTGGAATAAGGAAAGGTGAAATTCAATTAGTCATGGGAGTTTGCCTGGTCTACCTTGCCCACCTCCTTGGAAAACTGTAAAACATGATTTTGAAAGCCCTGAGAAAAGACAAGGTGTTTTCTCGTTTTTTGACTCTTTCTACACGTACTTTTTGTTAACAAAATCTCGTTCTACATTATTACCGAAGAGTTGGTTTTAAATTGGGATGCTCAACTTGTCTTTTATTATTATTCATACTCCTTGTCACCGATGGTTCTATTATTTAATTGTAATTGTAATTGTAATTGTAATCGTATGATAGAACACAGCCGTATAGCGTGTTGAAAGGAAATAGTCAGCTGATGACTACGTGGTACTGCTGTAAGTATTTTTAGTTTTATTTTTCGTCCTCTACATTGGGCAATTCCTTCAATTTCAGTTAATTGCAATGCAAATGTCGCAATATGCTGGGGATGAATTTATGTTTCCACCATCCACAAGCTATAGTAATTGAATCATTTTGACTAAAAAGCATTTCTAAAAATGAATGATACACGGAAGAATGTGGCAGTATCGATACAAGTTTAAAGATCAACAACATCAGGAGGATCCCCTTTCTGCTTTCTACTTTTCTCTTTCTGAAATTGTTAGTATCTTTTATATCACAAGCTGTAAACCCAAGCTGCTGACGCTATAAATAATTTTATTTCAACACAATACATTGCTCTTCTCCCATCAAATGGGATGGCAAAGCATGAATGTTTTCGTGGTCCCGGCATAAAACCTGCATGAACACGAAAAAAAAAAAGGTGTTTATTAATAGATAGATATATATTTTTCTTCTGTGAAACTTGAACATGTATTTATATCACGGTTTACACAGCAAAATGCTGGTTCTAGCTGTGATGATTATGCTTTCTGCTTAATTTAGTTCCTCTTGAGAGAGAAAGAGAGAGAGAGGTAACAATAAATTAGACAGTGAGCAGCAGGATATTCTCATGCGGCATTAAAACAATTTTCCGAGGACGTGCCTCACCTCATCATAGGTCTATGGGGACCCTCAGACCGTCACGTGCAAGTTGCACATGGATTCCTTCCCTACATACAAAAGAAAAATAATAATATTATCTAATATCAGTTTACCTTTCTAAGAAAATCTTTCTGAGAAACTCAGGCATACTACACCTTACAATTCCTAAAGTAACTGAGAATCAATGTACCTCTCAGACCATTCCATAAGAAACTCGTTGTCCTTCTCGTGATCAAACTCATGGGTCATTCCAATTAATAGAGCTTGTTTTGGACATATCCTCTTTAGAGCCTCAAGAGTCTGCAAAAATAAGTGGATGGAAAATGAGCGGCCTCTGACCATATATATATATATATATGAAGAAGAATTATTGGAAAACGTGGAACAAACCTGAGGTAAGCATAAGTGAACGTTATGAGATCCTTTCTGCAATGCAGAAAACAGAAAACATTAGTTCAGATAAGAAGATACAGAGCAAGTAAAATGTCAGCGAAAGGAAAATTGTTAATAAGTGAATATACAATAAATAATTGAGTGGCAGCGTAATTTATAATTGCAGTGGACAACTTCATCAAATCAATTTTAGTGAGAAATCTGTGCCCCAACCATGATCAGACTAAGCCAAGAAGTTTACACTTCAAATGCACTACAGTAAACTGTATCTAAAAACCTCAACCCTTCTCTTTCAGAGGAAAAATAGGACGACTATAATATCTTTAAGTGTTGGGTTAAGAAAACAAAGATAATAATTCACATCTAAAATTCTTGTTATTTCAAACCATATAATTTTTTTCTATTTTCATTATAGCTATATAATAGTTTTTACTATTCCAAAGTGGCTGAAAATTGAGTTAATACCAATATTAGACTAAACTACCCTTACCCCATGTTTTCTTTCCAACTCTTACATATCAACAGGCCACGGTCGGTAATCCAGAAGAGAATCCCACCTCACTCAAAGTTCATGTCAACAATATAAAATAATTATCTATGGTGCCAAACTGGGTTGTAAGACCATAAGATGCACAGTGGCACACACATATATACAAATATATCTTATGTAAGAATCAGCATGAATGGAATTTACAAAAAATGAAAGCTGGTAGTCAACAGTATAAATATTGAAAAAAACAAGGCAGTAACAGACCTTATATAAACAATCCAATATCAGCAGATCCAATTGTCCAGCACCATTTTTGGAAATAACTGCAAACCAAATATTCTGATCAAATGTTGATCAAACACAATATCCTGCCACAATTTAGTTTACCCTGAAAACTCAATTCACAAACAAATAATTCAGAAAAACAATACTTAGTACACCGAAACTTATAAGTGAGAGAACATGTGCTTTCTGTTCACCAGGTAGCAGTCAACATTAAGATCAGAGTAAACACGGCAAAGGGATGATCCCTAAGCATCTTATCTTTAGCAATTTTTAGGCAAGTCATAAAAGGGTTTCCTGTTTGTGAACCATGCAGGACAACTCTCTCACTAAAATTAAGACCCATTATCTGTTTAAAACAAAAAAAAAAAAAAAGAGTGAAAATCTTAAAACAACTGCTTGAAGGATCCATTTATTTTGAAACTACCTTACAGCAATCTACATATTTCCTTAGACTGTTAACACATGAGCTAAACCTGATAAAATATATTCCTACAATGCTCACATTGACAAGCAGCTTAAGATGATACGTAGTGAGTAAAATGTCTCATATCCATGTTTAACTTCACCAATAAGATATAAAATACATGTAGGTGTAATGCATGTATGCCCACAACAAAAGGATAAAAAGCAGCACCTACCATACTCTGTGTTCGAAGGAAAACGTGAGACATCAGATATATAAGCCACTTTACACTTTTCACCAAAAAGAAAACCTAAACAGATATAATCTTCTCCATGCATCACCTACATCAAAAGTATAATCAAGCACTTAGCATAAATTTTCAGTGGTGACAGAGATGATGTATTATCTTAAGAGACAGAAGACTAACTGGCAACGGGACAAATTTTAGTCCTGATGCAAAAAATGGTTTGTCATAGTGCTCCTCAATTATTCTCCAGTCAAGCTGAGCCACCCGCCTTACTTCTTGGCCTTCTCTAAGTTTCTTCTGAACCAAGTATGGAAATTTTGTGGCAATGCTGTTTAGGGACAATGTAAACTTCAGCCCAGGTTACTAGAGACAGGACAAAACCACAATACATTCTTTCTTCTATTGACAGCTTGTTTGCAAAATAAGCTTCAGTTCTAATTTGAAACCAAACTTTTGACTATGCTACTTAAAGCATATTAAAGCAATAACCTCTCACATTATAAAAATATGCGAACAACATCTGTCTTGATAATATATCAGCATAACTAACACTTGTTAGGTTAGGAAAATAGTACATGCAGAGTGACCCTAGGAACAGAAAATTAATATTATACCTGTCCATCGCATATTGTGTTAGGAATATGGCAGTAGGATCAATATCATTTGTAGGACTATGTGGTTGCACGGCACGTATATCATCGAGACCAAGAACAGCATCAGCATGTTCATGAGTCAAAATAATCTGCAGTTCACACAACAATTATTACTAGTTTTGAATTCCACTAGTCAACTGAAAGAACAAAATGTAATTTGTAAAGTGTATAAGCCATTATATGGATCAACAAACTCACTTAATTGCTATAAATCCTATAAAACAATTGAACAGAGAAACCAATTATAAATGCGAACTGCTATACCAAGATACTACAAAATGTCAAGTTCAGAAACGCCTTATGTATTTTTCCAAATAATGCCTGATATTTCAATGCTATATGAATCTAATTTAACATTAACAATAATGTATTCATGGAATAACCAAAAAAAAAAAGTTGAATTTTGAGGCAAAAGTGTCCTAAAAATTAAAACTCACAGAATCGATTCGAGGAATCTTGTGGAAAGTGAACCATCGAAGAACTTGCTCCCTGAATGTCTTCCCAACATCAATTATAACATAATTGCGTTTACCATCGCTCGAACAGTAATCGATAAGCAAAGATGTATTACACCTGAAAAAACAAATAGCTTCAAAATCAAAGCTAAAAAAACCTAAAATTTCTGAAGAAACGAAATTGAAAACGATAGCATTATTCACAAAAAATGCACTAAAAATTTCAAATCTACGTCATTAAAAATTGCACGGACAATTAAGTTTCTATCAAATAAAAAAGAAGCGAAAAGGAAGTAACCTGTAATTAGGGTTGCGGTCCGGGGAGATGGAGAGGGATTGGGAGCAGACGTGGCAGGGAGGATCGGAGGGCTGGATCAAGCACATTGCGTTCGGGACGGCACTGGAGCAACCGGTTCCCAGGAAGATCAGACCCGATCCATCACCATCACGGTCACAATTATCAACAGCTAAAAGATTATCGTCTACATTGTTTCCATTTTGGAGCGGCTTTTGGTTCTCCATTTTTTCTTTTCCTTTGTTTTTTTTTTTCTTTTGTTTTGGAAATTTGAGCTTGAGGTGCAGAGAGAGAGAGAGAGAGGGGGGCGGGACAGAGAAGGCTTAAAGGGGTCGGAGAGGGAATTTCACGACAGGTGGATGGTATTTATAGGGAAGTTTTCGCCCGCGAACTGTAACGGTTCTGGCCGTTTCTTTATTCGCCACGTGGCAGTCGTTTAAGAGAGCCTATAAATATGACATCACTTGGGACCTGAAAATTCAAGTTGGGATGACACAAGGCTGCAGGCGCATCAGTTATCGAAGAAATTTCTCGCTTTAACATCTTTAGCTCTAAAAGCAAAGTACAATTTTGAGACTTATCAATGCAGCTTATCTATGAATAAAGTTAACAAAAAAAATTATTGAACAATTTACATTCATATCTTACTTTTCAAATCGGTAAATTATTTGTGATTAAGAAGAACATGAATGATTTGCACATATATTTTTCTTTCGTAACACATAAGCAAACGAAAGCAAAATTAAGCTCACCTAAGTCAGGGCCCATGAAAGTAGGCCCAGTTTGAGAGGCCAGGCCACAATACTCCAATGGGCAGCCTCAGCCTCAGCCTCAATCATCTAAGCACAAGCTGCAAATGGAGGAAGGTTCATAA